CCTCGGTGTTCCCTGCTGTCAAACAGAAGAGTGCCTTTGCTCCTGTCATCAGACCCCAAGGGTCCCCCTCTCCCGCCTGCTCCAGCGGCAACGGGAACGGGTTCAGAGGTGAGGAACGCGTTCCTGCTCGTTCACAACTTCAGTTTGAAATTCCAGTTTCCCGCCTGAGTGCCATCACACGAGGAGTGCAAGGGCTCAGGGGTGAAAACCTGCCCCGCTGCAGCTGGATCTAAGGATTCATCCATGCTGTTGGCTTTAAAGCAGGGGCCAGGCGCTGATTTCCACAGGAAGGTTCTGGCCCGATCCATTTCAACCCCAGAATGGTTTGGGCTGGGAAAGGACCTCAACGGTCCACTTCCAACCCCCACCATGGGCAGAGACACCTTTCCCTAGAATATAGAGGAATTGCAGCTCTTTTGTGGGCAATGACTTCTCCTCAGGCTTGGGGGACTTGTTAAACAGAGCGGAGTTAATCCCCAGCTCTGTCCAGAACACAAACCTGCTGCGAGGTTTAGGCTCAGCCCGGGAATTGAGCCCCACAGCCCATTTATAGCCCTTTTAAAGGTGATCTGTGAAACAAATGTGAGCAGTGAGATAAGAATGGAAACCTGTACCCAATTCTTGCTTTTAACAGGCTGGGGGCGGGGGGGGGAGTGGTGTGTGCAGCACATAAATATGCTCCAAGTCTCCATAAAAAATGCCTTTATAGGGCCTGGGAAATCATCTGGCTCCTACAGACTTCAGTGGAGATAGCCTAGGAAACACAAGTGTGGGAAGTGAGCCGTGCCAAGAGCCAGTGGTAATTCCAAATGAGCCCCACAAACAGCACCTGTTGGGCTGGGTGTGATATAAACCCTTAGCTGGGCCACAGGGACTTGCAGAAAGTGTGATTATTTTATGTAATAAGGAAATTCTAAGTGTGCTGAACAAAAACAGTAACATTTTTAAAAGCTAACTCAGAGAATTCTGAAACAGCTTCTTCCCCTGCCCCAATTACAAGAAAATCCACACTTTCCTGAGATTATTTTCTTCCCATTAATGGGTCTATCCATTGATCTCACCATGTGAATGCACAGATTTTAGTCTACTTTGAAGTTAACTTGTCTAACTGTTATGTAGAGAAGGCCTAAATATTAAGCTTAAATATTCAGGAGTTACCTGAGGTGGTGCTAAACACAAATCAGAGAGAAAACCACTCAGGCTGCTTCTGGGAGGTAGAAAAAGGACAGATTAAAATACTACTGAAATGTTAAAATTAATAATTTCCTTTAAGGTAACACTCAAGGCTCTGCTTAGAAAGATTTCATCTCTCTTTCAACCTATAAGGAAACTAAGTATTAGAGACAAGTCTGTGCCATCTTAGCTATTTGCCATTTTTTATCCAGTCTATAAATCAGTAATCAATGACAGATTCTAAAAACTGAGCTTTAATATTAAATATAACAAAATCTCAAAGCTATATCCTGACATCCATCTATTTTTACTGACCAAAGTCCAGTCCTGAGCTGGTCAGGATTAATCCATGAGTTAAGGTTGTGAATAATTGCTGAATTAGCAAAATCAGAGATAAATGGATACAGAATTTATTAACCACATCCCTTTCTTTGTGGGATTTCTACCTGTACATCAACACAAAGATGAGTATCTTCATATTCTAGAACTGTTAAATTTAATACCCAGTAAAGCAGGACTGGTCAGTGACACAACAAGAAGAAACAAGGTTTGTTATGCCAGGTCCTGGTAACTATTGAACTCTTTCAGCCAGGGATGCAAATTCCAGCTGAAATATTTAAATTGATGCAAGCTGGGGAGCACATGCTTTGGAAAGGATCCAGGTACACGCAGCCTGATATCCAAATTAATGTTCCCACAGTGCTGACAGACAGATGTGTCCAAAAAGTCAACAGGAGGCTCCCAAAGAGACTTTTTGCCTGAAATGGAGAGATGGGGAGAGGGAGATGGATAATGCCCTCTGCCACGTCAGCCCCTGGGGCTGGAAACCAGGGATAGGTGTGCTGGGCATGGAACTTGGGATTTATTTACTTATTTATCAAACTCAGGCATCCAAAAATGCTGCTGGAGAGAGAATAGCAAAAGCACAGGGCAAGCAGTGAATATGTGCAGGCCCCTTTCCAAAGCCCATGAACTCGGAGTTTCCCCCCATAACATGTGGAAAACATCTCCTCAATATATAATGATAATAATAATAATAATAATAGTAATAGTAATAGTAATAGTAATAGTAATAGTAATAGTAATAATAATAATAATAATAATAATAATAATAATAATATAGGATTATATATATCCACATTTAGAGGATGATAATCATAATCTTCCTAGTCCTTCTTCTTCTTCTTCTTCTTATTATTATTATTATTATTCTTATTCTTATTATTATTATTATTATTATTATTGTTATTGTTATTATTACTATTATTTACCAGCCCCTTGGAGCATGCCACTCTCCTTACAGGCAGCAATGAAAATCTAGATTAGAGCTTCCATAGCTGTTAACCACAGCAGTATTTAAGCCTGGATTAAAACCAGTCCAAACAGGAGTAGCTTTGAGATCTTCCTCCTCAGATTTGCATTCCCATTATTCCAGCAGTTTACAGGGAGGTTTTTTTTTTACAGAAATGTATTTTAGGAGGATTTGCTCCCTGTGGGGGTAGTGAGGGGCTGGGATGGAATTTCCAGAGCAACATTCCCTGGCACATTGGGAGGGGATCCTGCCACGGCAGGGGTGGCTGAGCTGAGCTGTAAAGTCCCTTCCAACCCAAACCATTCCATGATCCCAGCTCAGCGCTAATTCCCTTCCCAGTTCTCGTGTTTGAATTGCAGCAAGTCCTTTCCACTCCAAGACAGTTTTCCAAAGGCCACTTGTACTCACCAGGCTTATGATCATTATTAATTACACCCATTAAAGGTGCCTATCACCAGATCATCTGGGTGCTAGCCATCTTTGATTATTTATTTATAAAAAAAAAAATTCTCCAACCTTGTGACAATTTTAATCAAGTGTTTCAGTTGATAATTGCAAGCTGTCAAGGTTAATACAATAAGGCTCATCTCTAATTCTTTTTCCATTTCCCTCCAAGAGAGAAAAAAAAAAAAAAAGACCCTCTGGGATAATGACTGGTGGTTGCTATATTCCCAACTCATCAGGGAGTGTCCTGCATTGAACCACCTTTATTGAAAAGTTACATCGATTCAATATATAGTAATACAGGCAAAAATAATTACAGCTTTGCTAGCAGTGTAAGACCTTAATCCAAACCTCCCAAACATTCAATAAAAAGCGATCCAGGCTGGGAATAGGCTTTTGACAATGCAGCCCCAACGGGGAGTGGAGGTGGGGTGGAAATGGGCAGAGCAGGGAGTGTGGAAAGAGAGAGAAGCCCTGAGATGAGCTGGGGAAACCAGGTGAGAATTCCAGGCAATATTCCTCCACCGACTCCTTGTGGGAGTCTGCAGGAGGAGCTGAGGCTGAAATGAAATGCCAGTGACACAAATCAGGGTTTGCTTGTGTTTTCTGTGTTATAGAACTTGCTATATCAGATCATGGAATGACAAAACCCCAGGATGGTTTGGGTTGGGAGGGACATTAAAACCACTCCCTGCCATGGGCAGGGATGGCTCCCACTGCCCCAGGGTGCCCCAAGCCCTGTCCAGCCTGGCCTGGGACACTTCCAGGGGCAGCCACAGCTGATATGGAAACCTGTTCAATTCCAATCTATATACCATTTTATTATTAATATTTCTAATCCTACAGTAAAAAATGTACTTCCATTTAAAGTTAAGAAACTTTCCAAAATGAGGCACCTACAAGTTTTCTCAAAATATTTTTGAAGAGACATGGCAGAAACTCAGGTTTAAGCTTTGCTTTGCTTTGCTGGAAGTTTACCTCGATTAAAAAAAAAAAAAAAAGGGAAAATACTGCAAATAAAAATAGCATCAGAAAAAAGCATTTATGTAATTATGGACTGACTCTCTTGGGAACAAAGTTCAAAGGGCACCAGCTCCTGATGGCTGAAATTAAGCCGTGCTAAGCTGTTCCAGGGGTGCAGCCCCTGTGCCCACACATCCAACAGCCAGAAAAGGCCACCCTGGATGGCACAAGCCTGTGCAGGTGCTCCTTTACCTGCTTCAGGCAAAGACCCAGCCAGGACACCTCAGACAAAGAGTTTTTAACCTCCTGGAGGCAGCCTGGATGATTGTGCCTGGAGCAGAGTATGAGGACCTGCTCCCTTGGGATGCCTGTGGGATGGAGCCAGCTCGGAGGGCACGAGCTCGCCTCTTCCTCCAGCCCAACAGAGCCTGGAAATGGCAGAAATTTCATGGCAGAAATCCAAGGCTGAATCAAGTTTTCCTTTCTAAGGACAGAAAGGCAGGCATGGAGTCAATACCCAGCTCTCCACGTCACTCTGGGACCACCACCAGTAGGATTATTTTTGGGGTTTGGGGGTGAGGAGAAGGAGTGGAGCAGTGTCCTTGGTGTCATCAGAAAATCTGCTAACATGCTCACACATATCCTAAAAACAGGCATGAAAGTGTTTACCAGCTTTATTTAGGGTTTAAAATATGAGGAACGACAGCAAATTCCAAAGCAATTACAAAAAGTGTCTGTTTGACTTTGGGCTGCTGGGTTTCACTTTCTCTTTCAGCTATCTGCTAAAATTGGCAGGGACTTTAGTCCCAGTCAGTAAGAAAATATGAAAATATTTCTTTTCCTATTGTATTAAATAATAGACCATATCCATACTTGCTCAAAAACACAGCTACAGTGGCAGACTTGTGCCAGCCCAGGAACTTGCCCAAAGCACTTTTTTAAACCCCCTCAAGGAAAGGGTGAAATGAATTCTCAGGAGGACGGGGCTTTAAATGCACCAATAATCCCACAAATTTCAGTGAACATAAATCTTTGCAGGACTGGGACCTCACACTGCACCAAGGCCCCTTTGAAAACTTATTGACTCACTTATTTTGTTACATAAATACATCTAAACCCAACTCACCCCTCAAAACCTCAGGGAGCAGCACCGGTTCCAGGCAGCTCCAAATGCCACTGCTGTTGGTTATGAGGAATAGAGCTGCAATTAAAGGCAGGAGAGTGACTAATAAATAATTTACATAAGCCCAGCATTCTGGGAGCATGCCAGGTAGGGCTGCAGTGACTCAGGCACGTGGGGGAAACCAAGTGAGGAAGTGAAACTGTTTCCACTGGAGCCAGACTGGCAAAACCCAGCCCTGGCCTCTGGTTCAGGGCTTGGAACTCCCTGGCTCGGTCTTGTCCAGCACATGGGGGAGTTCCTTTGGATTCTGCATCTTTCCAGCCCTTCCAAGCTGATGAGCAGAGTGGGTGGGGAGCAGAGACCCTGCTCAAGTTTGGCTTTTGAGGATGGTTTTGAGTGTTCAGCTTGAGAAGTTGGAATTTGGGGATGGTTCTGAGCAATGTCCATCTCCAAGGAGTTGTCTCCAGGGATAAGCACTCAAAGATGGGAAGGTTTTTCTGAAAATGCACATGAATTTAATTAACCCTCTCTTTTTTATCCATTTAATAATGCTGGTGGGCCTTGGCTTTTCACAGAATCAGAAAACCAGGGTTTGGGAAGGGACCTGAAATCCCATCAGTGCCACCCTGCCATGGCAGGGACACCTCCCACTGTCCCAGGCTGCTCCAACCTCGCCTTCCAGGGATCCAGGGGCAGCCACAGCTGCTCTGGGAATTCCATCCCAGCCCCTCCCCACCCTCACAGGAACAAATTTATTCCTTTTTACCCTGGACCAGCTCTTTGCTCTTTGCCTGTGCCAGTCAGTCCTCACAGTTCTCAGTACAGCACCAAAAGACTTAAAGATACTAAAACTCGAATTTAACCTCAGATCAGGCCCTTCCTGTCATTCCTGGCTGCTCACAGGAGGGAGAAGGGCTCGAATATATTTTGTTCCATAACATTTTGCTGCAATTTCATTTTTTTCACTTTTCTTTTTCAGCCATGACTGGTCTTGTCGTTCCCCCGATGTAAGGAAGGGGCAGCTTTGCTGCTCTCCCTCTTCCCTTTTTTCCTCCTTTTTTTTTTTTTTCATTTTTCTTTTACAGCACAATACTACTTATTGTGATGGACCACTAAAAAGAAAAAAATAGCACTACAAGCTCTTTTTTGGGGGAAAGCCAGGCCCAGGAAAAAAAAAAAAAAGGAACATTTTTTATGGATTGGACAAGTTAGAAGTCTGCATCATTTACCTGTTTCATATTTCTGACACAACCACATCGACTCCTCAAACATTTGGAATGAAGAATCAGCAAGAGCCAGGATGAACCAGAGTTGGCAGGACGGAATTAGAAATGCAAAGTCTTTTCTGGAAGACATGAAAACCTTCCTAAGATTTGTAAAATATTCAAAGGGGAAAAAGGAAATTGGCAAAGTGATTCAAGCTTGATATTTTGGATACAATTTGTTTTACTTTGTAGGGGTAAAAAAGTTGAAGTTTCTATTTTCTATGGAGCCTTTCAGATATCGATTTAGTTTATGCAGAAAAACAATTCAACAAAACAGGGTACCAGCATGAAAGAATTTCTAGGACAAACTGACATGAATGATGGAACTTTGGTGTATGTGTGTATTTGCTTATAGTTTAACCTCTTTAAAAAAAATGTAAGATGTTTTACAATTATTTAAATAAATAAACTTGTAACTTATTGTATGTAGAGGTAGAAATTAAACCCTTTTTTGGATTTTTTTCCCCTCCAGTTGTACAATGAAGAAAGATGATGCAAAAATGTAGTGATAAGTTTGAGATATATTATTACTGCTGCAATTGCTCCTCACTTTTCCCCCCCTCTTACTGAATTCATGTGCAAGGATGTATAGGATTCCTTCTGATGAACAAAACCCTCAGAAACTTTCACCTACATTGTGATAAACAGGTCATGTAGGAATTTTTGCACCCTCCTCACCTCACCCCCTTTCCATTTTTTGCTTCAATTAAAATATTCAGGTACTAAGATTAACTGCTAAGTCTCAAAGACCCAGCTGATGAGTGAGTGGCACTTAGGGATTTGAGTGAATCGGATTTCTCACGAGGTACTGAGTTTATTTTATAGATTCAATGTATGAATTGGGAGGGGAAGGGTTCTCTGGGGTTTTCCATGTAGTTAGAACACCTTAAGTTCAGTTATGCTTCATATTAAGGGTGCATTTATAAAGGGTGAACATGTATTTGAATGATTTATGCACTTTTATCCCAAGTCATTAAAAATGGTAAGTATTTGCCAGTTATATATTGAAGTTCATAGAGGTAATCAATTGCTTTGAATTTTTCTGTGTTTTAACCTAAAAAAGAGTTCAGTTCTCCTTTGCCCTCCTTTCCTGAAATTGGAAGGTGAGGACAAGTCTGATAAAATAAATCACGAATTATCCAAGGAAACCAGGGAACACTGAAAAGAATTTGGATGCTGGAAAGCCATTTTTAGTGGGGAAAAAAAGAAAACTCTATGGAGACTCCTCTAAATTCCACAGAATTAATGGCTGCCCGGACAGTTGTTCCTATGGAAACACCTTGTTGTTAATCAATAAACCTTAAATAAGGCCCCAGGATCCAAACTTATCCATTGGCCCAGTAGTTTTATGGATGGGTAAGGAAAATTGTGTTCTTGGTGATCTTTAGGGGTGGTAGAACTGGGACAGCTTGCATGGCTGAGCTCGTTTGGGGCTGTTTTGGAGTTAATTTGGATTAGGAAGAGCCAAAAATCCTCTCTGCAGATTCACAGGTCTATGGTGATGGGAAGCTGAGGGGGGATGACCTGAGGGATCCTCACCTGAAGGACAGGGCTTGGGCACAGGGCAGCCTGTGCAGGACAGCAGAGCACAGAATCAGAAAATCCTGGAATGACTGGCAGGGAAGGGACCTTAAATCCCATCAGTGCCACCCCTGCCATGGCAGGGACAGCTCCCACTGTCCCAGGCTGCTCCAAGCCCCGTCCAGCCTGGCCTGGAACACTTCCAGGGACTGGGAAACACTTCCAAGGTCCTCCAGGTTCCCTTTCCTGGTGCAGTTTATGGGATAAACCCACTCACTGCACCTGGAGTTCTAAAGAGTGTCTCAAAGGGACTGGAGACAGCAGCTGGGCCATTCCTAAAGCAAGTCCCACTTTTGGGAAGGGTTTTTGTATTCCTGACTGAGCTGTGAGGTTTGGCAGGCTCTTCATTTGCTGTCCTCTCAATGCCACTCATTCCCATTTTAAAAAGGTGGAGTGGGGCTGATCTCTTCTAAAACCCAAGGCCCAACTTATGTTGGCAAAAACAACGATTTAAAGAGAGATTTGGTGGGAATAACGTGGGTTTTAAGAGACATGGATATAATTAATAATTCGCCATCAGGCTACAGAAACTGAGTTCCAGAGAAAATGAAATAAAATAAATCCCTGTTAATTAAGGCTGGCAGGTTCTCTGCATGCCTCTCATGTCACCAAGGATGTAGCAGTCACTGGAGGTCAGCCAGCACCCCTGAAACTAAGTGAGCAATGAAATATTAGAGAAAAATAGATGTTAAAAAGCCTGGGGTTGTCAGGGTACCTCTGATAACACCACACAGTGCAGGGCCAGACCTGGGCTTTCCAAACAGCAAAACAGCAACAACAAACCCCCCCAAAATTTCATCTATTCACAGGTACTGACATCTCAGCAGGGCTAAGTAGGAGGTGCAAATTCATGTTTGAAATTATGCATTTACCCAGGGATAAAAATGGATAAAGCACTGGAAGAGTTGGGATTGAAATTTCCATAAATCTCAGTGAAAGCACATTTACTCCTAATTCCAAAAGTTATCTTGGTGGACCAGGCTCATTCTATCAAATCCCTTCCTCCATCCCCACCTACTAAAAACCCTAAACAGCTCCAAAGCATGAAAATTATGAATATTCTCCTTCCCGCCTTCCAGGCTACTTCTAAAATTGATCATCAAATAAACTCAACATTCTGTCTGGCAAGTATTCCAGATCAATAGGAATTTCCAGACCACCTGCTGGAGAGCAGCAGTTTCCTACCTTAAAAGTCTCTCCTTTTTTTTTTTAACAAATGGGATTTTCATTACAAAATATCAGTCAGGAAAGTTTTTTCAATTTAAAAAAAAAAAAAAAAAAAAAGAAGAAGGAAATATTCCATGGAAAAATCTGGGTCTTATCCATTCTTTTCTTTTTTTTTTGCTTAGTCAACACAGGCACATGGAAAAAAAAGATCTACCGCATCACTAGAAATCTTGGGAAGATTCAGGGGGGAAAATGACAGTCTGGCAATAAAAAATAATAAAAAAATGAAATTTTCTGGACCATTCCTTTCACCCTTCAGTTGTTTTTACCAGCGCTGTCCAGTTGCCCAGTTGCCACAAGTCCAAGTGAAAAAGAGAAACCTCCCGAAAAAGCTGCTCCAAGCACTTGCAGAAGAGGCACTGCCTGTGCTGATGCAAATATGAAAAATCTGGTGTGCTTTGAGCCAAAAAAACCCAAAAAAAACCCCAAATTAAACCTAGGAATTATTTAGAACATGGCTTTTGCTCATGCAGGGAAATCACAGTACTGGATATGACTGTAGGATTAGTTGAGGTTTACAGAGAAAAACACCTGTAAATAAACACAATCAGAAATCCTTGGCCATGAAAAAAGACCTTGGCAGTGGCAGAACCCTCAGCAAAGAGGGAAAAGATGATTTCAGAATTGACATGTGAGTATTTTTCTCAGTGTCCTCTTTAAGTGGTTGCTGTTGCCAGTTCCCTGCGAGTTTTCCTCTTTGCCACTGGGAAGATGAAAGTGTTGCAACAGGCAATGACAAATGCATCACAACTTTGGAAGAGTTGCTTTGATCTCCTAATTTATCTCGGTAGAGCATCTTCCTCCCCCTCTTTCTTTGCACACTTCCAATATGCATGGTTTTTCCAAACCATTTCCTCCCTCCTGTAAATTAAGGCCTCATTTCTCCCTTCTGTATAGTTTTGGGGTTGGCTGGTTGTTTTTTTGGGGTTTTGGTTTGGTTTTTGTTTGGTTTTTTTTTTTGCTTTGTCAGTTATATACAGTATGAAGTTGCTATGCACAGAGCTTTTGTAAAGATAGCTTTTTGGTTTTTTTGTTTACTGTTTTTAATGGTCCTACTTATGGAAGAATATCTTGTTTGTAAAATGAATATGTCTACTTCAGTTTTAAACTTTAAATTATCCTAACAAAAAAAAATAAAATTTTTTTACTGTAAATAAGGGGGGAATTTTCTTCATTTCAGAGTGTTCAATCTGCTTCTTCATCATCCTTATGGGTCACTCAGGATATCAAACACACTTTAAAAATGGTACAAAATGTTATGTGAGAATTTTTAAATCAAGATTTGGAGATTTGCCTGTAAAACATCCAACCAAAAAGTGGGAGAGCCAGGTTGGGATTATGCTGGGCATGGAATAAGAGCATAATTAATGGTCTTTTCTGACCATTCCTTTATTACAAATGGACAACATCAGTGAGAGTTCAGTCCTTTTTGGGGGGTAAAAACTTGTAGGATAGGACAGAGGGAAGTCCTTTCTGGACACTCCCCTTTTTGTTATGAGTATACAGTTGGTCAAAGAACAAAATCAAAATTAAAAACTGGAACAGATTGATCCTGGCCTTTCCCTGGACTAAATTTGGGGTTGGTCCTGTTTTAGGCTCCATCTTTGTACAAAACTCTGAGCAAACAATGAACTGATGCTGCAGAGGTGAACCACATGGGCTGCCAAAAATAATCTGGATATATTTACTCACTCTTGTGTGGAGTGCACATCTCAGCCACGGGGATGGACAAAACAGAGTGCTGAAAACTGCTTGGGAAACAGTAACTGGCCATTTGAACCAGGAATATTCCATTTTCTCCCATAAAAATTACTGGAAAGAGAAACAAATGAGAATTTTAATGCTGAAGGTCACTTTTACTGACATTTTTGACAGAATGTGAGTCAGTGTTTAAATCACTGCCAGATGTCAGTGAAAGCATCTGAAAACAGGAGGCACTAACAGCTCAAAGCTGAGGGGAAAACAGAGATTTTTGGTAACCTGCACCAATTCCTCCTTTCAAGATAACGTGCAATCAGCAGATGACCTTCATCCCAGCACTGACACACCAAGTTTTCCACTGTCCTGATGAAATATCCTTCATCTCCTCTTGAACAGAGGCCCATTCTCCTGAAAAACCTGATTCAGCTCTTTCTTCCCCCCCCTAAGAAATCCCAGCAGTGTTTTAAGTGATGACTTTGGTGATAAAACCAACAGTTCCTGTGAAAGGGATTCTCAGTCTTTAACAGGGCCCTACGGTTGGGTTCCAGAGAGGAAGTGTGCTGGGCAGATGAAAGCTGGAGATCTGCTGTTCCACTCCTGCTTTTATTACATCTCTTAAGGACTTGGTGATGGACAGACACAAACATGAGCCTGGGATGTGTCGAGCAACTTCCAAACAAAATGCTGAGGGAGGGAAGAAGGAGATGTATGAGGGTTTCAGACCAAAAAAATCAACTTCTTAACTCAAATAAGCACATAGACAACTCCCTCCAAGCACAAGTAGCTCAGGTTATCAAGGATCATCTGCACAGAAATGTCTTTAAAAACAAAAATAAATCCCTAGGATCATTGCCATGAATATATTTCATTACCAGTCTTACTCCATTCATAAAAAAAAAAGTGTGAAAAAAGGGTTTTTTGGTCAATGTTAAGACCAAAAAAGGCTTGAAACCTCCCCCCACGTTAAATCCTTGGCTCACCAGCTTTTACAGGAAGATCAGGTGTTCAACCTTCCCTCCAAAGTTGCTCCTACAATTTGGGAGAGTTGAGTGACTTTGGTCACAGCAGACATAGAAAGCAGCTCTTTTCTAAAGGCAAAAGTGTCTGGGGGGCTGTGAATTTGTAGAGTATCAGGAAGAGCAAAGGAATATTCCTCCTAAGGGCAGTGAAAATAGGAATTAATGATCCTGCAGGTTGTCCTTCCCCAGAGAGGGGGCAGCCACACCTGGCATGGCCTGCTCGCTCTACCTTGGCTCAGAAAGGCCTTCTAGAACAGCTCATCTTCTCCCAGCCCAATTTTTGTTTCTTTCCAGGCATTTTCTAGATATAAAAAAATCTGAATTTCACTTCAATAAACTGTGGAACAAAAGCCACTCCTTCAGCCACTCGTGTGGGACAGGCAGGGAATTGCCAGCCCAGTTAAAATATTTATCTCCGTGACAGCACACAGCTGCTGAGGTGCAGGGATCTGAAGCTTTAATGGCAGCAGGTTATTTGGGCAGGAATGTCTCATTAACTCCAGCTGGAGATGGGGCTGAGGGTGCCGACAGAGCAGGGGAACAAACACCCCCCGAGATCAGGGGAAACCCAACACTTCTCCATCCTGGCTGGAAAGGCACCAAAGAATGTCCAGCGGAGGCAAGAGGAGAACTCTGGGGGAAGCACAGCAGGGAGGGTGGGAAGGGAAATGGGATCTCCTGTCCTGTGCTGGGTCTGGACAAAGTTTCATGAGAAAACACAAGCCTGGCCCTGGTCACAGCCTTTTCCACAGGGAGATGCAGATGCAAACCTCTACCCTCTGGAGGCACAGGAATTGTACATCCTGAAGTCACTGTCTTTGGCAAGGGAAGGTCCTTGAAAATATGGTGCAGGTTTTCAGAGAGGCATTTTACACTGCTTTTACAGTGTGACATTAATAATTTTAATGGTGGTTATTCCTATTTTATGTTGCGATTTTTAAGATATGACTCAGTTATTTCTAAGAGTAATAGAGGAAAAAAAATATTTCAAACAGCAAGCAGCTTTTTGAGAAAGGTTTGGATCAATTTTTCCAACCTGGAAGAGAAATTTAAGCACCTCTCCTTTTCTCAAGACTCCCTGGTTTAAGCAGCAGCAGCAGCACACCATGAGAGTCAGGTTTGTGTGGGGTTGGGATGGAGAAGGACTTCTCCCAACACTTCCCTGCCATTGCAGGGACTTGATTGGAATTTACCAGCAGGGTCCCTCTGACACTGAAATTGCTGCAGTCATTTCTTTGTCTTTAAAATGCCATATAATTGCTAATGTAATTAGTGATGTATACAGAGGGGGCCCGTGCAATTACCAAGTCCTAAGATCAAGTAATTAATGTTCTGTCAACAAAACAGCAACTGTTTCATTAACAACTGTCTGGGTTTGAAAACAGATCAACTCAGAACATACCCACTTGGCTGAGTTTGGCAAGAGCAGTGGATTCCAGCCCAGAACACACCAGCCTGGATCAGCAGGGTGTGGAAAATGGGATTGTGCCGTTCCCACCTCCAGCTCCAGTTATTCCTCCCCCAGGAAGATGAGGATTCACCACCACTGCCCATAGGGACAGCTGGAGGTCCCAGTTTTAGGGATAATCTCTGGTTTTAAAAAATCTGCAGAGGGTTTCTAGGACCTGCAAACGTTCATTGGATTGCAGGACCTGGAATTTTGGTGAGGCCTATGATTTTGCTGACCTCTGAATTTCCTTTGTATTCCCAAGGTTTTCTGAGCTACCACCACCCCAAGCACCTCCCTCAAAGGGACAGGATTGGGGTGCCCACCCTGGTCTGATTTCTCACTCTCCTTCCTTTACGAATTTGAGTTTTACAAAGGTTTTTTTACCCAGGTTTTCACCTTGTCCTTTTCCTCCCAGCTCTTTGGAGAGCTCACACCCCTCCAAGTGGCAGCCAGCCCCCCTTTGGTGTCCCTTGCCTGTCTCCTTGTCTCAGTGCTTCTGTCCAGAGCCCATCCTGCAAGGTGAGACCCTGAAAGGTGCAGCCTGGAAGGAGCTGTGCTGGTTCCTCCCCAGCTCCAGCTTCTCTGCTCTGCCCCCCTCAGCACCACCCACTGCTCCTGCACCTCTCAGTTTGCTGTTTGCATTTGCTCTTTGGGGTTTGAATTTGGTATTTGGGGTTTGCATTTGCTCTTTGGGGTTTGAATTTGGTATTTGGGGTTTGCATTTGTTGTTTGGGGTTTGAATTTGGTATTTGGGGTTTGCATTTGCTGTTTGGGGTTTGAATTTGGTATTTGGGGTTTGCATTTGCTGTTCAGGGAGGGATCCCAGGACACAGCTCAGACTTGGAGTCCTGATGCATCACCTCCAATTTCCAGGTTGGGAATGATCCCTGTACCCCCAACACCACATTTGCTGAGCCTCCAGCCCAGGATGAGCTCAGTGCTCCACGCCATTCCTCAGAGGATGGAATTCCCAATCCTCCAGCCGCCGTACCTGCTCTCCATGCCCACTTTTCCCTCAGCACAGGGGCCAGAGCACAGCACAGGAGCTGTGGCAGGCTGGAATTAAGCAGCAGGAGCAAGAGGGATCAGCGAGGATTTCCGGGGAGATTTGAAACACAAACAAGCATGAGGAACTCTAAAAGTACACAATTTTTACTCCCGCTCTGTGTGTGTCGTTTTATTACAGGGTAATTAAAGAACACTTTAAAATTGTGATTAATGGGCTTTTTAGCTTCAGAGAAATCACATCTTTGATGTCAGTTGCTTAAACATTCAGTTTACTTTGCCATTGAGAAATGGAAATAAATAAAGAATGCCGAGGATGCTTTTTTCCCCTTTCCTGCTTTCTACAGGGAAGGTTTGTAACACTCACATGGATAAAAATGGGATTTATGCAAGGAAAAAATGCCCTCCCAGTCTGACTGAATGAAACCCTGGTCACAGGGTTCAGCTCTGGTCCCACTCAGTGTCACAGTGGGACTCCAGCTGCACTTGGTGTTTACACAGAATTTGGAGGTTCCCTCTTCTGGGAAGCTCCACACAGCAGCAATAATTCAGATTATTGGATTTTAAAGGGGGTGAGGGAAGAAACTGTGATGATGCAGATCCCAAACCAGCACCAGGTACCTTCACAGCCCATTCCCTGGGGAAAAGACGCTTCCCTGGATGGAGGGAACAAGCTGTTCCTGGTCTCTTTAGCAACATCTCAGGTGCCCAAAACCTGTTTTGCTGCTTAGTTTGAGGCACTGATTGAAGCAATACCCCTCCTAGGGTGCTTGTTTTTATTTCTTAGGACTATTTTTAACCACGGGTGCATTTGTACAGAGTGGGGAGTTAAGGAAGTGATCAGTTCTAATTGCTTTTATTTCTCCTCCCATTTAAAATCTGGGCTCCAACACCACCCACAAACCCTAAACCCCACACTTTTTATCATAAACGTTATGGAGGTGCTTAGTCCCATAGTATTTTCACCCCCCTGGCAGCCTATTTAGCAAATATTCTTTTCTTAAAGACTAATTTTCACCCTTTTTTCTCCATTTCTCCTCTCTCAGCCTTTCCCTTTACATCCATAATTACAAAAAAAAAAGAGCAAAAAGGCAGATTTGGAGTTTGAGGAATAAATTAATCAGTTAGCCTATATTTAAGCACCACTTTCTTGAAATATTTTTTGAGCTTTATTGGAGCTCCTTAACATATTTTTGAAGGTTTATTATCTTTTTTTTTTTTTTTTTTTGCATAAATCCTGCCCCACACACATGCACGCACACACACACCCTTCCAAATAATCCTCCTCTAGGCAGATTAAAATTATGGATGCTTTCATTCAGCTGCTTTTGGAAGAAAAAAGGAGGAAAGGAAAGAGGGGAGTGGGGGAAGAGGCAACTTTAATACTCTACAGTAGCACAACCCCCCTGGGCACAAGGCAGTGCTCAGGTAGACACATCTGGTGAAATGCATCACATCAAATTAGTATCAAGGGTATTGAGATTCCGAGACGCCTGGCAGACAATTCCCCTTCTAATGTACTGCTTTGGAGCTTGTTGAGGAAACTTGAATCCCAAATCTCCAGTGAAATGAGTGATACTAAACATGCCTGCTCAAATACTGAAAGTGAAGATCAAAGACGCAGTGTCCAAATTGGCTTTGCAAACAAAGAAAGCCTGGGGATCCCCAGGAGGACGTGGTGCTAATTTTATCAGATCTCCTTGACTTCTTCCTCCCAACAGTTTGTCATTTAAGAAAAAATAATAATTGTAATAATGAGAATGCATTTCTGGCTGGCTGGCAGGAACCTGGTTGTGTGACAAACAAATTCAGTGCCTCTTACGGGTGTGCTTTGCAAGGCACCTTAATCCAGATAAAGTGAAAAACGAGATTTCAGATTTCCCTCTGAAATCTGCCCACGCCTCAGTCCCCAAACCTCACAAAGACAAACACACAAGGCCATGAATATTTCAGTACAGCTCAGCCCTTCAGATCAATACAGGCAACTCTCAAGTTCTATTGATTTTTCAGAGGTTTGGCTCACAGGGGTGATAAAATATTTCTCAAGTTATGAAACCCTAGCTGGGGAGCTTTTGCTGATGCCTCAGCATTTACCAGACACATCCCTCTCCCCTCCATGTGGATTTATGACTAAGCAGTAAGTCCTGGAAAGGTGGGCCCTGCCATCCCAAAGGGCCCACTTAAGGTCAAAAAGAGAAATCAGGGCGGTCCTTCAGGTCACCAAAAATTCTGTTTTCTGAGGTAATCACTTATTCTTTTCCCTCCAAGTCCTCACTCCAAGATTCATTAGGCAGCGAGTGAAATTCCCTTTCAGCGTCCCCTGTAAGCTGTCAGAGAGAAAGGGACACCAAAGCAGACACCAAATAAAGCAACTCCCTGCTGAGGCAAGGGAGTTAATCCTCTCCATATGGAAAGGAAATGCACTTAATTATGTATTTATGCATGTCATTGCAGGCTTATATCTTGTTTCACTTTCATCCACAATGATCCAAAACCTATTTCAATATAATGAGTAAACATTTCTGGGTTTGCAATAACAGAAGCACTCACTCACCATTTCCCGACCGTTTCCTTGCAGCTCAGTGCAGTTTTTATTTGTCCTGGAACAGCACCCAGGGAATGCTGGGCTGGACTGTGACTGTAAAGTGTTTATAGTTACAAAACCCAGAAGAGCCGGCCCCAAAGAGCTTATAACTGAGCTGGAAAAGGATTTTGAGAGAGGAGAGGGAACCTGTGGATTCTGCTTGCAATATTCCAGTTATTCCCTCCCAAAATGGGTATCTCTGTATAACCAAAACTCATTTTTTTAACCCAGTGGGTTCCCCACAATCACTCAGGGACTGTGTGACAACAGAGTCACTCAGGGACTGAGGTCATTTGCTGGTCCCACCAAGAGACCTGGTATGTGAATTATTTAAGTTGCTTTTTGGTAGTTCAGGAGGAGACTCCTCTCTGCTTCTGTATTTTAAGCTGTTTTTATTATTATTAATATTATTAATATTAGGGGTTTTTTGCAAGGAGCTTTAAGGGCGAGGGACACCCTGTGCTCCCTGTTGTCCCTCAGGTGTCAGGACAATGTCCCAGCCAGCCCCTGCCAGCTCCAGGGAAGGTTTCAGGGGCAACAAATAGCAGAGGAAAGACCTGTCCATATCCACAGGCCAAGGTGAGAAGGGGGCCTAGGAGACATCGCCAGAGCTGCAGCCTGCAATCAAAAAGTGGCAACAGAAAGGACATTTTCCAAGTGATTCACAATAAAAGAGGATTTGTGTGCTTGGACAAAGACCCACTGGCACAGTTACACTGCCCTGATCTGTGCATGAGCTCGAGAGAGCACCTGAATTGCACTGAGACACCCAGAAAAGCTCATTTAGAGACCCTTCCCCAGGTGCCAGAGCTTGGCATGGGAACCCAGCTTGCCCAACTCCCACTTTTCCCCTGGGTGGTGGCCTTTTAGGACTTTCAGGGAGTCAAAAACAAAAAACAAGCCCTTCATTTCACTTCTTCTAACCAAATTTGGCTTTCATCCCTCCCCCTCTTCCTGGCAAAGAGAATCCATCATCCCCCTCATTTCAACGCGTTCCAGAGGGCTCTGCAGCCCAGCCCGGTGAAACTCTGCTGCTGCATCCCAGGCTGGCACTTCAAAAATGCAAGTTCACATCATCCCATCCCCATCCAGCCCTCCCCTGGCAGCAATACCTGGGAAGAACCCTCAGTCAGTTAAAACCCACCTCAAACCCCCACATTGGCCATCTCTAATCCAATTACACTGCTCAAGCTGTTCGCTCCCAAAACCCCCTCAAAATGCTTTCTGATATTTTTCCCACAACTGGTGTTAAGCTGTAATTGCTCACTGCATCTTTTTGCCCATCTTGAATAATTGGTGTTAGATTTGCCACTTTATAGTCCTTGGGAATGTGACCTGTCATTATAAAGCTTCTAAAAAATCTCCGTTAACGCTTCCCAATTTTCTCTCCTTTATTTCCTCCTGCAGCAATGGATGTGCCCTCCCTGGACCAGATACCTGATCTGCCTTTGGAGCACAAAAAACCTTTCAGCAATAATTTTTGCAGTCATTTACGCAGTAACACCTCTAACATGCCTGGGAATAGAGAGTCGGGTCTTTAACGGATGTAAACTGGCAGAGCTCCACAGATTTAATGGTTACCTCAGTTTGCACCACTTGGAGGGTTCACTGAGAATTTTCTGCACATTTACAAGCTCAGACAAGTTCATTTCTCATTATTTAAAAGGCTCAGCTTGAATACTGCATAGAAAATCAAACTCAAGTGATGAGAGCAGCTCTTATTAAATAAGAGATTTCCAGACTAAGTGGAGACTGTATTTCAGGACATGCCCAGTGGGAGGTCTATTGAGGATCAATATCCTCAGTGATCTCCTTGATCTGGACCCTCAGTGCCTCATCTTCCAATTCCCATCTTTTCCATTTCCAGGAGGGCTGGGAAGTGCAGGAGGTGGGATTTTGACAGCCATAGCCAAGAGGATCCCCCTTTAGATGAGACACACGCAGGGTTCCCTTTGGAGAGGAGGGATTTGGATACAGAAGATGTTCTGGAAGGCTGTGATTTCCTAGAGCAAGCACAAAACTTTCCTTCAGCAGGTACTTGTAGAGTTTCAGCAGTGCCTGGTGCTCTGATTCCCATCTCCCAAATCCCTGGAGCTCAGCTGGTATTTATGGTGCTTTAACACACACTTGCAGTGTCTGGCCGGACCTTTGCACACTCACTCTCCAAGCCCCAGTGTCCAAGAACACTTAAATGAAATAATACATAATATAAATATATTTTACAAGATAGATATAACAATAAAAATAACACATTTAAAGCACATTTCTTGACCAAGGATTGCCCAAACTCTTTATAAAATGGATGGAAATCCTTAGCCATGCTGGGTTTGTCCATTCCTCCTTCCCTGACTGTCGCAGCCCAGGCTGGTGTCCGGTTTTCCCAGCTCTGGGCAGGGGAGGCAGCTGCACCCAGCACTGTGACCCCCTGGCCCCTTCCAGCAGCCCCAAATTCCAAGTGTTACATGATTCCTAATGGCACTTTTTTGGCGCTGGACAGGGCAGAGGTCAAGGTCTGGAATGTCACCAGAGCCGCTACTTAATGGGGACAGACAATTAGGGGATTGTCTGA